AAAACTTCAGAAAGCAAGAAAAAAAAGTGAAAAATGTAAAAATTTCAGGAATTACTACTTCGCATGGTGAAGGAGAAGCAAATGACTAAGGCTGCTACAGTGTTGCAGGTATTTTTTTTTGGAAACAAAGTGAAATTAAGTTTCTGAAGTTTCAGCCCTACATCTTTTGTGGGTCTTGAGATGAAAAAGCGTGACAGACGTACACACAGACACACACACACACACACACAGATAACCCATCGCCAATATGCGTTTTCTGCGTTGCATAGCTGCAAAAAATGTATAATTAGCTCCTTACGTAAAAAAAAAAAATGTTTTGTTATTTTGATATTAGGCTTGGTGGCGTGGATGTTCATATCGCAAGAAGAATGCACAAATGCGCAAGATATTGGCCACCAATCGTGTTGAACGTCAGAGTTTGATTTTGGCTGAGGATCGCTTGGAGTTGGCGCGCCCAATTATGGATCGTGTAAAAGATGCTTTGCAAGAGCTGAGCTCAGAAAGCCTCTTCATACGTCTCAAAGCTGCCAACGTACTACGTTAGTTTGTGTCTAATAATTTTTCCAAAAAACTGTTTTGTTCTATTTTTTTTTTGAGCATACTTATGTTAGCTGATATTCCATTGAGCTTCTCTTCTCTACTACCATACACTAAATTCCATCCTTCCTAAATCGCAAGGTATTCAGCTGTGCTGCATTTCCTTCGATTAGCATGGTTCCACTACTTCACAAGGTAAACTTCGGCCTACTTACGGCAGCATAACACCACTTTACAGCTCCGACCTTCTTTCAACCCTGCTCGACATGACCAGTTTTGGCTGGACTTCTATCGCTCTTCTTTTTCATTCTATTATTCTCTTATCCACATGAATCCACAGAATCATTTTAGAGGAATCTTCCCTCCCTAAAAGCTTCTAAAATTGCGTTGTTACCATTCAGTAATCCGCTTTGTTCATCTGTCTATCAAAATAATTTCTCAAGTCCCACCAGAAGAGTGTTCTAGCTACAGATAGTAAGCTGGTAACGCAGGCTGTTGTTGATTCACAGTTTTGTCTCTGTTCTGCTATAATGATTCTTTAGAAAATTTGTTTATTTAAAATTTAAAGTTTAAGTTTAATCTTTTAATTTAATTTTTTAATTTAATTTAGTTGATAAAACTTTTAATCTGAAATTTTAATTTATTTTTTAAAATTTAGAATTTATTTATTAAAAAATATAAAAAACTAAATTAAAAAAAATGAAAAATTATAAAATCTAAAATTGAAATTTAATTTAATAAAATAATTTGAAATAGAATTTTAATTAATTTAGCTTAAAATTTAAAAATTGGATCTAAAAAAATTCAAAAAAAAAATTGAAAAAATAAAAATTCCGAACTTGTGAAACGCAGGGGGCAAATAATTTTTCAGGAAAATTTGTTGGATTATCAGAATTATGCGCTCAGTATGTGTTCGATAATGGTGGTTTGGAATGTATCCTTGATTCTCTGGATGGGTGCAATCGTGGTGTCGGCTCAACGGAAGTGGTGATCCCACTCTGTTCAATCATGTGCAGTATGATCAAGGTCTGTTTTAGCCGAAGAGAAGAATGAGGAATTCCAGGCATTTCTTTGTTTTTTTTTAGAGCTAAAAAACATAATTTCAGTTCAAAACAATCAAGCATAAGCTGGGCGAAGAGCGCCGAAAAGATATGGTGCAACGGTGCTTCCATTTCATGGCAGCGTTTTATCGAATCTCCGAAGTATTCATGGATTTGAGCACAATAGTTTTGGCACTTGAAGAAAATTGCAAACCGGTTAGTAGCGTTTTTAACATTATTTTTGCTTTACTAGCAAGAAAATTCGATCCGTTTTTGTCTGGAAAATAGCACTGAGATGATTTCAGACATAACAAAGTTCATCTTTGCTCCGTAGAATCATGTAAAAGCGAAG